ACTTGAATACTATAACTTTCTTTCAAGAAAAACTCCACCTAATGCCATCCGAGGATCACAACACCATCCCTTGACTACTGGGACCTGCCCTGACATGATTTTCAGCAGGTTTACTTCAGCAATAATTTTTAAAAAATATCAGTAGATTGCTACAGAACATGCACTAAGTATGTAGCAAAAGTATCAAATTGGTATGACATTCCTCCTTGAGACGAGTTCTTGATAATCCAAGCTTGTTCCTGAGAAATTCAAATCTGGCTTGTGAAAGAGCTTTAACGAATTTATCTTCAAGTTGATTTTCTGCTTCACAGTAGATTAAGGTCGCCTCATTAGCTTTTTATACAACATGAACTAAATGGAACTTCACTTATATATGCTTGGTTTTGACATGACTTGTTGGATTTTTCACAATTGCAATGGCTGAGTTGTTATCAATTTCAATTGTCGTTGCTTCACACTGTTGCTGCTGCAGCTATGTACTCTGCTTCTGCAGTGGTTTGTGCCATTGTTTTGCTTGTTGGTCATCCAATAAAATGCACCTGAACCGAAATTGAACTCATAACATGTTGTGCTCTACATGTCAACTGAACGAGCCAATCACCATCTGTGTACGCTGTCAATTCTGCATCTGCAGGAGCTTCAAACCACACTCCAAAATCAGTGTTCCCCTAACATGTGTTAGGACATATTTGCTGCCCTAAAATGCATTTCCCCTGGAGATTGCATAAAACTTGAAAGAAGGCTTGCCACGAACATCAAATCAAGTAGATAAGGCAGGTGTTTCTTGATTATGTTGTTTTAAGTGATGGTCTAGGTGAGATTTGATTTCTGTGTGTAAATTTGGAAAGTTAGGCTATCGATGTCTGTCATGGATTCAAGGAAGTAAAGATTCATTCTATTAAGCTGAGGGAGCCATAGCTGTTTTAGATATACAAAGATGGTTCCTTTAAGATTGCTTGTCCAAATCTTCTGCCATGACAGGAGAATTTTTTTATGTTAAGAAGTATCCTCAAATGTTCTGACAGTGATGATTCTAAAATATAATTTCGACAATCGTGGACATCTTTATTTACTGTCACACCACTGGAAATCTGCTTTTTAGAAAAATTTTCTTTCTTTTCCAAGCGAAGTAGTTGCTGCAGCATTGTTAAAAAACCCATCCATTGATGACCCTCCACCTTTCAGAGTAAGATAGGTACTAGCAACCTAGTTGTATAACTAAACTAGTACATTGTACCTAGCTTGATCCTCTGTCCACTTCTATAAAAGCTCACCCTGTCTCTTCTTCAGACATCAAACACTTCCAACTAAGATCGAGCTCAATTTGCATTAGCATTTTTGAATTATCTCTAGCATTATAGCGTGGAAATTTAAAGATGAAGCAACAGTACTCAATCTTCTCATTTTCAATGCTCCTTCTTTCCATTTGTTATATCAATACCTTTGCCCAGTCACCAACAGCAGCCCCAGCGCAGGCACCAGCAGTAATCGTAGCACAACCTCCAGTCGCAACCCCAACACAGGCTGCTGCCCCACACGGCATCACCAACGTCACCAAAATCCTTGAGAAGGCTGGCCACTTCACGATCTTTATCCGCCTTTTGAGATCCACCCAAGAGGAAAACCACTTGTTCTCCGCGCTTAATGATTCAAGCTCTGGTTTAACCATCTTTGCACCGTCAGATAGTGCATTTTCGGAACTCAAATCAGGAACTCTCAATACTCTAAGCGATGGAGACAAGTCTGAGCTGGTGAAGTTCCACGTAGTTCCAACATTTCTATCGACTTCCCAGTTCCAGACCGTAAGTAATCCTCTTGGAACATGGGCTGGAACAGGTAGTAGGTTACCACTTAATGTCACAAGTTATCCAAACTCAGAGAACATAACCACAGGACTTACCAATACAAGTTTATCTGGCACGGTTTACACGGACAACCAGCTAGCCATTTATAAGATCGAGAAGGTGCTACTTCCCAAGGACATTTTTGCTTCGAAGGCCCCAGCTCCAGCACCAGTAGCACCCGCGCCAGAAAAGCCTACTAAGGCAGTTCCTGCAGGTAATGTTGAGAGTCCTGTTGCTCCTGTGGATATATCTAGCGCAGTTACGTTTATGCATAATAATGTGGTTGGATCACTCGTTACAGTTGCTGCTGCAATGTTTGCTTTTACTGTAGAAGGGTTTTGAAATTTGAGAGGAGATACGTTGGGCTTGGTTCCGGTTTTGTTTTATGATTTTGTTGACTTTGGATTCCTGTTGACATTTGAATAATTCTGATTTTGCTTTGAATTCAGGTTGTATGATTTGAGCTTGTGGTTAAGATGGAATTTTGAGGTTTTATTTAATTTCTTGTTCAAGTTGCAATATCTATACTTGATATGTGAAATTTCATTTTTTTCCTGACCGAAACAATTCAACTTTATATTTACATTTTGATCTCTAATATTAGAGTTTTAAATTTTTTATGTTATTTTTCTTTTGAGTTATTGTTAAGTATTTTTCATGTAAATTCTGCTAGCATTCTTTCTAACAATTTTCAGTAGTTTTCATTTCCATATTCATTTGTCTTTTGTTTTTGTTTTCGGATGATTGAAATAATCTTTAATATACATGTAATATATATACATATATAAGTTGATTATATGATAAGTACAACTAATAAATTTATTAAATATTTATATATGTTGTTTTATTTTTCAAGTACTCATTAATTATTGAATTTGAATTTGCATTTGCATTCTATTGAATTAAATTTTATTTAATATGATATACATTACTTTGATACTTATGTGAATATCTATTATGTTTTGATATAAGACTTATTAGTAATTTCATACTAATAAATAATAGTTAGTCTATACAAATATAATATTCTATAAATCTAGTTAGTGAGAGATACACCAATCTGTAATGACTGATCCTTATACAGTGATTACCTTCAGATGTCATCTGATCTCTAATATGTATTCTACAACTTTATGTTAATATGCTTAGAATATATATTTATATCAAGATATATTAAATTGCAAACTATTAACATTTATGATATATATTAAATGTTATTTTCTTATTGAGTTGGTTGAACTTATTCTTCCATATTTTTATTAGTATTTAAGATTTTTAATTTTTGTTAGTAAATGGACTTTATTGAATGTTCTTATTTTTTCAGTTTCAGTCGGTATGCCTTACTTGTTTTGTGAGATTTTTCTTTTAGTTTTGATTCGATATTTTAGATTCTCCACAGTTATATTGTTTTAATTAAGTTTGGATTTTGACAGTGTAAAATTTTTTAGATTCTTTGTTTTGCTATAGCTCATGATGAGAGATTTTGAAGTGTCATTTAATTTTTTTGGTTTTGAAAGAATATAATATTTTAAAAGATATCAAAATGCTGCAAAATCTTTATATAATTTATTTTATAACATGTATGTTCTAAGATTTAACTTTGATAAGTTGTTCTTATGACTCCATTTTTATATTGACGCTCGTGGATCATGAATTTGAGTCGTGACACAACTCATCATAATTAATGAGGTTTTTGTATCATTTTATTCTTTTTTGGTATATAAACATTACATTTAAAATTTCCTTCAATTCTCCTAACTATTTCTCTTTTATAGCTCATAATCCGTCTATTTCTCATGGATACCCACAGAATCCGGCTACCCCACGATTAGTCAATTTTGTCCAGCAATTTTAAAGAATGCTAACAATTCTGGTAATCACACCCGATTACCAATTAATTCCGGCAACCCTAACTATTCCTTTATAGAAGTCTATAATTCAGGTATTCTCACTAAATACCAATTAATCTAGCAATCCCATATGAATGCTAAATAATCCACCATTTTTGTTTGAAAGCCAGTCAATCCTGTATTCCCAAAAGAATACCATACACTTCGGCAATCCCTTTGTGGGATGCGATTACTTCATATCTACTTCATTCATTTTTTATTTTATTTTCTTCTTGGATAAGATTCATAAATCTCACCACAGAATTGAGCATGTAAATAAATTGCAATTATCATTAATTAAGAATTTTCTATCATATTGAGGTGAAAATCACCTACATATAATCGTCTGTCGAATAATAGTCCCTGCTGTTTGTGCGCTTCCCGCGACTTCTCCCTCGTTATCATCATTTAAATTCTTTTTAGATTCAAAATTCTCTACACAAAAGCAACTTTTTTTTCTTAATTCCTACTCATCCCATAATCATAGATTAAGAGACTTTCAAATCTTTAAACACTAATATTTTTCTTCATCAATTAAACTTCATTCATTTTTTCCAATTTACTTAACGTCTCTATTAATTTTCATAATTCAAACATCACTATTAACATGTTTACTTTTATTCTCCTAAGCCAAAACTCTTATTAAAATAGTAATTGTCACACTCAACATTGAGATGGTCTTAAAAATTATTATAGAAAAGAACTAATTTCGATATCATATTTTTTTTTATGAAGAATTATATTATTTAAGAAATCATCATCTAGTATTGTGGTTACTAGAAATCCTAACCGGTCAACAGAGATTTTATGGTATGAAACTAGTTACGCAAAAGTGAAGATATTATCACCTCTTGAACGTCCTGTCTAAGGCAAGCTGCATTGCTGACTTTGTCATAAATTGTTAATGTTTTGTTGGTTTATGCTACAATGGTTTTGCGTGTAGTATTCCTTATTTTGACGCAGTGAATATTTAACTAAGGATATTTTCAACTCTGACATTGGTAAATATTATGTAGTTATGAAACAAAATAAATTTAAATTAATAATTTTTTATTTCTAACTCTAGCGTCAGTGAATAAATAAATTAAATAAATTTATTTTTACACATCACACAAAAAGCAAAATAAATTTAAATCAATATTTTTATTCTGATTCTGGCGTCAATGAATAAAAAAATTCATATTTATATTTTATTTACACACAATTTTTATTATTTTTATTTTTTATTTACATTTTTGGGCTGGGCCCAGCCCACATGGGCTGAGCTGGGCTGGACACAGCCAGCCCGGCCCGGTCACTGGCCCAAACCAGTGACCTGGCTGGGCTAAGCAACACGCGTGCGCTACCGCACGCTTGTCGCTACACTGTGCAAGTGAATTAAAATTCACTTGCACAGTGTAAATGCTAATTAACAAAGACAATGCAAGGAGAAGAGGTCGCTTACCTGTTCCGCCGGAGGCGACGGAGACGGTGACGAAGCTCTGGCTGGCCGACACCACTTCCTCTCCTCTGCTCCTTCTTCTGCTTTCCTTTGCTTCTTTGGATGCTACTAACTTGTTGTGATAAGCTGGAGACGAGCGGCTGTGATCAACGCCGGCAGCTCCTCTGTGTTTATTTGCTTGCACTCTAGGGATGGAGATGAAACATAGCACCCTAGCTCTTTCTCTCCTCCATATTTTCTGTTTCTTTCCTCTGTTCGCTCTTCACTGGTTTCCGAAGACTATGAAGACGATTGTGATGAAGGTGACTTGTGTTTCGTTCCTCCTCCCCCTGGTTTTCGGTCCAATCCCCCTTGTTTTCTTCTCTGGTTCCTGGCCTCTGCTGCTTGCAAACGAAGATGACGGTATGGAAGGGCCGTTCCACCAACACGGCTTCCTCTCCTCTGTTTTAGTTTTTCACCCCCCGGTTCTGCCCTTTTTTTTATCTGTGAATTTGCTCTCAGTCGCTCCCCTGTATCGGTTTTTTAACTCCCTGTTTTTTTTTTTTTTTATGCTCCCGTTCCTCTTTTCGTTCTGCCGTCCCCTCGCTCAGGACGAAGACGATGGTGATAAAGGCACGAGGTGCTGCTGATTGAATAGAAGCTCCCTCCTCTGTGTTTTCTCTTTTCGTCTCTGTGTTAGGCTTGTTTGCCGAAGCCCTCGTTTTCCCCTTCTTTTCCCCGTGTTCTGGGTTTTTCTTCTCTTCCCTGTGGCCTTCTCTGGCTTTTATAAACCCAGAGGATGGCCGCTGTTCACGTGTTCGTGCCTCACGATCGCGAGGCACGAACGCCTCTGTTTCCTTGAGAAGAAACAGTGGCAGAAAATTTGCTCTCTACTGTCTTTCTTTTTTTTCGTATGCTCCTCCCAGTTTGTCTTCTTTTCCTCCAGGTCGCTCTCTCTCGCCCCTTTTTTCTCCTTTTTCTCTGGCTTTTATAAAGCCAGAGAACGTGGTAATGAGGGTGAGCCACGTTCGTCCATGCGTCCCACGATCTGCAGTTACATATCTCCTGCTAAAACGGTCTTGAGCGACGAAGAAGGTGGAGCATTTGATTCAGAAACGGCGCCGTTCACAACTGGAAATGGCAGCTTTCATTTTGGACCTTGAATTTTGGAAAGTTTTTTAACTAAGATCCTAGTTGAATTGTAATTGGACCCCTGCATTTCGGCATATTTTACACTTTAGTCCTTTTACTTTAATCTGTTTGCAATTGTGCCCCCAATTAACCCCAGACTTTGCTATTTCTCCAATTAAGTCCCTGATTTCATTAATTAAATTAAATCCAAGTCCAATTAAGTCCCAAACTTATCAACTCTCCAATTAAGCCCTTTGATTTGATTAATTAAATTAATTCCTAGCTCAATTAAGTCTCAAAACTTATCAATTCTTTAATTAAGCCCTTGATTTAATTAATGAAATTAGTCAAGAGTTTAATTAAATCTTTAAACTTCCAATCATATTATCCTTAACCTAAATTTTAATTCATTCTTCATTTATTTTATTTTTACTTGTTTTTCATCATTTTTTAGTAAATAAAATAATTAAAATAAAAAGATAAAAAATTAGGTTATGCCAGTAATGATTTCTCATTATATTCTTTATTTATTTTGAATCTTTTTAAATTCACCCTTTTCATATATTTTATTTTATTTCATGTTAAATTTATCCTATTTAATCCATACATCTAATAGAACTCATCCTTCTTTTCATTATTTCTTTGGTCAACTATAAATATTAAGGAAAATGGAATGTTTTTTTTTTCCCTTCAAATCTACACACTTTTTACATCTTTTTAACCATTTCTTTCATCCAAGGTGGTTTAATTCTACATAATTCATACAACAATTCAAACAAATATCCTCAAGCCCTAAAATCTCTATTTTGGTCGAGTACAAGGCAACTCTTTTAAAATTTCTCCTCAATTCTACCTATACTCCATCAATTTACATTCCAACTAATATAATTCTATTCATGAATGACTAAAACTCAACCAAACAATTCATACCCTTATTCCCATTAAATTACTGAATTTATCTCCATGCATAATCAAGGCATAATCAAGGGTAGTTTTTTATTTTAATTTTTATCTTCTGCATATTATCCAATCTTTTCTCATATCAAGAATCATGATTAATTAAAACATAACATTTCAAATCAATAAACTGATTTATCTAACTAAATATTAAACTAACAATTCATTCACACAACTCATCAATCCATAAAAATTGATTCAGTTTAAACATAAAACAAGGTTGCTTACCACTTAATCACAATAAAATTGAAAATAGAAAGCAAAGAAAATGATTTTTCTCCTCCTTTTCTTTCTCCCTTTTCTCTCCACCACCATTCACTCTCCAAAATCTACAAGAAATCTTTGGTTTCTATCCAAATCCCTATTAGTTTTTTTTTGGTTTGGTTTATGTTGTTTTATGAACATGTAATAATTTGCCAGTAAACATACTAGAGAGTGTTTGAGTGGGTGTTTTATTATTATTATTTTTATGTATGTTTTGTTTATGATAAAAAACTAAAAAGGAAAAAAGAATGAAAAAAGAATGAAAAAGGAAAAAAAATTAAATGTTTTAATTTGCATTGAATCTGGTTCACATTTCAAAAAATATCAAAAAATATTTTTTGTTTGGTATTCGGGATTTATAATCTTATATGTAAGATGTATTCTTGTTATTAAATAGAAAAGTTTGTTTTGTTTTTATTAATAATAGAGCAATTAGGTTCTTTTATTTGATAAGATAAGGATTTCCTTACTGAAAAAATTTTTTCTTCTCTTTTTAAGAAATCATCGGCAAGACAACTTTCAAAACCTTTTAAATTATATCAAATTGCAAAGCAGTTTACTTCAGGTAGGGTGTACTAGGGGTGCTAATACCTTTCTTAGTCACAACTAGTCCCTTATTTGTGAATCTTTGACAAGGCCAGCATAATCAGGTTTTCTAGTAGCCTTCAATTAAATACTAGGTGGCGATTCCCAATTAATCAGGCAAACGAACAAAATTGCCTTAGATATCGTGAGGGCACGTGTGACAATATAGATGAAACTGCTTTCTAATTGGGTCTTTTGCGGTGTTTTTCCAAAATTTGTTGACAATATATGTTACCAATGATCTTCCATGGTTAAAGGTAGGCAATATAATCTCTTATGACAACTTCTTTTTTTATGCATTGTATGAAATTTTTAGCTCCACTAGAATGATGCTATTTTTAATTATGTTGCCTCTAACCTCCAAATTTGTTTTTCTATGGTGCGTCAAAGTATTGCTTTATGGCTCAAGCTTCATTCCAACTCTTTAAAGCTTAATATGGAAAGTGTTTAGTAGGGAGGAGCTGGTTTCTTATGTTTTTTTTATTCCGCCTAATTGATGCGCTCCCCTGTTTCATACAGAGCTTTTATGTTTTTTTTTTTTTTACTTTCCTTTTCTTGTTCATCTAATATAAGTTAAATTATTATATTTATAGCCATTTTCTTAATAAAACTTTATACTATTACAAAAATAAAATTTGTTATAGTCTAGGTGAAAAAGAAGTTGAAACACACAACATCCTCCTACCCACTCTTTCTTATTTAGCCGGCCAAATGAAGCCATTCATATATATATATATATATATAAAAGAGCATTTTGGCCTATTTGCACCTCTGCCCCTAATTTCTCTTTATTCTCACTCAGTCCCCATTTCTTCTTTCATCTCTTTTATTTATCCAAATGGTCTTTTTAATTTCACTTTTAGGTCGCTCTTTAACTAATCAAAATATTGCTTTTGATTCATTTTCTTCTTATTCTTAAATAAATCCCTTTGAATTTATATTCCTTTTTATCTTAAAATATATTTTATTTATTTATTTTATTTTCATTTCATCTTCTTATTTTTCACTAACTCAAAAATTTTAATCGGGGATTTACACTTCATGTATGGTAGTAATAGACATAGCCAAAATGTAACTATTGGTGATGTAATACAACGTATATCCTGTAAATCTTGTGTGCGCAAGAAAAAAAAAGTGTTACACATAAAATTATCAAATATTAATTTATAAAATAATACATAAAAGCACGTGCCATGTAGCTTTATTTGTTAAAAAAAGACAGATGAAATAAACATAAAAGATAGAGAAAAACGGGTTGGTTGTTGGATGGGCAACCCACATGATTGGGTTGTTGGCCAAGTGACCCACAAAATCGGGTTGCCACCATGAGGTGCCTCGTTGATCATCAAGGTGGCCAATAAGGCCCAATTTTTTATTTAATTTTTGAAATGTTAATGTGTTTGTGAGTTTGTTTTAAGGTTTTTAATTTTGGAAGAAAAAAAAAAAGTAAGTGAAAAAGACTGATATTCACATTGTACTAGCATTATGTCCCTTACTACCTCGAAAAACGGGTTGGTTGTTGGATGGGCAACCCACATGATTGGGTTGTTGGCCAAGTGACCCACAAAATCGGGTCGCCACCATGATGTGACCTCTGGTGGCTACCTCGTTGATCATCAAGGTGGCCAATGAGGCCCCATTTTTTATTTAATTTTTGACATGTTAATGTGTTTGTGAGTTTGTTTTACGGTTTTTAATCTTGAAACAAAAAAAAAAAAAGTGAGTGAAAAAGACTGATATTCACGGTGTACTAGCATTATGTCCCTTACTACCTCATTTTTTTTCAAGTTTGGTCACTTAAACAAGGAAAGCAAACCACCACCACTCATACCCTAAACAACCCATGCAATTATGCAAACCTCCTTAATGTCCCACAAATGGCTTAACCTCTGGTACAAACTTCCTTCCCTTAACTTCCCTCATGCTCTTCCTCCTCCAAATTCATCAACAAAACCCTCCTACACCAGTATCTTTCCTCTCCTCTCACTAAATTCTACCTCCAACTCAGTTACGACTCCAGTACACAGCATCACGGATTCTTTACACCAGTCAGAACCATGTAAAAGAACTCAGCTCGATATCGACTATTTTGCGGATTGTTGGCAGTCATTCTTTTTTCTTAGAGATGGGGATGTTAAAATTTCGGGGCTTAAAAATAATTGTTGTTTAAATTTATGTAGAATTATAGTTTTGCCTCCTTATTAGGGCCCAAGTTCCTTAGCTCATCGTTTCTTGAACAAGTAAGTTTGCTACTGAATAGCTTGGTGCGCGATTTGGAATGCTTGTCGCTTGATAAATATGGTGGAATGAAGGATGCATGTCAAGATTTCTAATTTCTTCAAAGCTTAAAGAGTATTGTCACAATAATGGATCGCTTTAGATTAGCTGGCCAGATGTTTTATCACTGCAGATGATTAATTTTAGGATGTGGAATTGTGATTTCAAAGACTTATCTGGTTTGATGGAAACAAACATTTGCTGCATTTTCTAGTTCAACTTAAGGAAGATAGTTGTATGAGATGTGCGTTGTTTTCTTTAGTAACAATATTTCCGTCATTTCTCCATTTTCCATCGATTAATGATCTTGCTCACCCTTTATTTTTCAGGAGATGGAGAACACTTCAGGATTTGGAAAGTGAAAAGGGAGAAAAATGTTAGCTAAAACAATCATCCTCAGCCAAAATTATGAGATATAGGTGGCTTGTGTTCTTTGGTTTTCTTCTGCGAGATGCTCTCTTCTGTTTCAATTTGTTCTCTTAATTCTTCATTTTTTTATTTCTCCTCAAACTTCGATGCTGGATGTGTCGTTCATTCTGATGCTCCTTGTCAGTGCTGCTAACGTTTTTTTCTCTCCTCCGGCTTCCATTTTTTTGTCTTGGTAACGTGATCTTGGTTTATCCAAAAAAAGAACAACGTTTCCCATACAACATTGTTTGAGCAGTTTATGCATTTAATTTGCACTTAAAGAATTATTAGATGTGGTTGGACAGAACCAAATATGTATACCTTCCAATTTCTCAAGCCTCGATATTTTGACCATTTATCACCACAGCATGGACCATTAATCAATGGCAATGCCAATCCATGCAAACTAAAAGTAAATAAAAGAAAAAAAAAACGAGAAGGTTATAACTGTCAAAGAACCATCTCACTTAAAAGTTTAAGCTATTAGGTGAGGTTCCAAGATATAATTTATATTATTCTTTAACACACCCTCTCAAGTGAAAGTCCTTTAGACTTGAAACTTGCACAGATCCATTTTTATCAAATAAATGAGGATGGTGAGATTCAAACTCGTAACTGCTTGGTCATCAAGGCTCTGATACCATGTCAAAGAACTATCTCACCTAAAAGCTTAAACTATTAGGTGAGGTTCCAAGATATGATTTATATTATTCTCTAATAATAACACGTGGCAGAACATCTTTTCTATGCTGTAACTTGCAACCACAACAATTATGCTCATATGATGTTAAAAGTAATTTTTTTAAAAACACGAGTCAACTGTGTTTTTAAAAATATCAATTTAATTTTTTTAATTAAAATTTTATATATTTTAAATTGTTTTGATGTATTGATTTTAAAAATAATTTTTTAAAAATAAAAAAATTTTATTTTAATACATTTTGAAATAACAATTATTTTAAAAAGTAACCACAACTACTCCCAAATAAATATTTCAAAATGATCTTATATTCAAGAAGGAGTTATTTGATTTTTGGGTAAAAAAAATTGATCCATTAAATCTTTCTATCTTATAAAAATAATTACAAATGTAATGGGCTCCTGTGTAAAGAATGCATCTTGGGTAATTAGAGAATCAAGAAACTGCAATGTATCATGTTCAGAAATAGGAAAGATGAAGTTCTATTGGAGAGTTATTTGAAAGTGTGATATGTATGTTTTAAAATATTTTCATTTTGCAAAATATATTAAAATGACATATATATATATATATTATTTTTTAAAATTTATTTATGATATTATTGTTTTAAAACATTTCAAAAACAAAAATGAATTTAAAATAAAAAAAGTTTAAAATTTAAAAATTTAATATTTTGATCGCTAAACACAGTAAAAAATAAATAAATTCTATCTTATATTATAATTAAGGCCTGTTGGGCCTCACGAAAAACAAAAAATAATCCATGGAGTCAGCTAACAAGAAAGATGGGAGATCCCGAAAGCGAGAGACTTCCACACTTGCTTGGAGATGTCAAACCTAGACGCAAGCCTTGCCAAGAAATCTGCTAAAAATATCCTAACTTCACTCTTTTGAAACTTTCAAACTCAAACGTGAATTATTCAAAAAATAATAGTAAAAAAAGAAATTAAAAGTTGAAGGGAAGTGCAAACAAACTCAAGCACTCTTTCATCATCTTACTTCACACTTTCGAAACTTTCAAACCCTAATCTAAATTGATAGCAGCTTACAATACAGAAAGATATATTCAACACAACTATCACCATCATGGTAATGGAAACAAGATCCACCAAGAGAAAAAAGTTGTGGTTTGCATCAAATAATGAAGGTGATAATGACATTGACAGGATCAGCGATCTCCCTGATGCTATCCTCCATCACGTTCTCTTGCTTCTTCCCCTTAAATCCATTGCTCAAACCAGTGTCTTATCTCAAAGATGGAGATCTCTCTGGTCCTCATTTCCTGACCTTGATTTCACCACAATGAACCCTAGTAAGGCCATTTGTTTTACACCAAAGCTTAAATCAAAAAGATGGTGGTCTTCGATGGACTTCATCGCCAATGTCCTAGCTCTCCGTGACAAGCATTCTGATCTAAGAGCCCTTCGCTTTCGTGCACATTTGAGTTTCTCCCATCTAAATGGTTTGATTCGAAGAGCAATTAGGTGTAATGTGCAAGAACTTGATGTGGAAGTCGCCACCGGTGATTACTTCAATTTCCCTCGAGGAGTCATAACGAGTGAATCTTTGCGGGTTCTCAAACTGAGATCTCGGTATCCCGGTTTTAGATTGCTTCCATCTTCGGTAATGACTCTTGGGTTTCCATCACTCCACACATTGTCACTATCACTTGTCATTTTATATGAACAATCCTCCCTCTTGGACTTGTTTACGGAATCGTCATTTCCTTGTCTAAAGAATCTTAATCTCGATGCTTGTTTTGGGATGAAACATCTCAAGGTTTGTTGTCGAGCCCTTGAAGATTTAACAATAGAGAATTGTTTTCAGCTACATAGTTTGGACATTTGTTCTGCAAAATTGGAAAATTTAAGAGTTGCAAGCTGTTTTGATGCATACAGTGATAAGACATGGTTTAAAGTTAATGCACCAAGGCTTAGGAGCATTTCGTGGGAATATAATTCTATTACTGCTAGCAGTTCTCTAGTGAACTTGACCTCTCTGCATGAGGCCTCTGTTGGTTTCTCTCTACTTCATGAAAATTTGAGCGTGGAAAAGCTTCAGAGTGTGTGCAATTTTTTATCTGGACTCTCTCATGTCCATAGTTTAACTCTTGATAGCCAATGTGTTGAGGTAAAAGCCTTTCTTCCTGCCTGAAATAGTGCTCAATTATCACAATCTTTTTTTTTTCCGGCATAATAGTTTTATGTTATCCAGTGCATGAGAATGGACTCTCACTATTTTGGCAGATTCTATCAAACAAGAACGATATTATAAACCTTCTCCATCCATTTAACAACCTTAAGGTTCTGGAGTTGCATACCGGTTTCGAGAAAAATAATGTACCAGGATTAGCATTCCTATTCAGGAGCTCTCCCACGTTGCACACACTCATCCTCAAGATCATCAATGACTTCACGACTGAAAGAAGAGTGAGTACAATAAATGTAATTCCTTTTGATTTACGGCCTTATATATATATGCACACTTAGCCTTAGTTTTGTTTCATATTTTTGTTCTTTCAGCAATGGAATAGGGACTTGTGGGACTTGTCTACTTCTGCAGAGGAGCAATATTGGGAATCTCAACTCCAAGCTTTAAGGCCTTTCCTAGACCACCTCAAGGTTGTAAAGATACATGGATTCTTAGAGTGTGAAAACGAAGTTAGCCTAGCAAAGTTTTTGCTCAAGCATGGGAAGGACTTGCAAGAAATGACACTTTGCACAGCAAAATGTTGCAACTTTAAGGATTCTCTTCGGCGACAAAAAGTTCGGTCACAAATAATGGGATTCTCTTGGGCTTCATCTAATGCTAAAATTGTATTCTTACTGTCCTCTTAATAGAGTATAATTATTTTTTCCTGTTAATTGTACTCTTCTAAAATGTGCTGTGCAATGAATATTTTTTGCTATCCCTTTCTGTACTTGTGTAAAACTTTTGTTATAATAACTTAATTCTCACATTCTAAAATCCAAGAATCTTTTCTACCTTGAGGTTGTTTAGGAAAGGCTTCAAAATATTGCTCTTCTGCAAAGGTATCTCCGGACAAGTCCTTTTCGAAAACTGAATGGGGACTTCGGGGACATGTCTACCTCCTCGGAAGAGCAATACTAGGTGTTCAAATTCGGAGTTTGAAGTCTTTCTTAAACAACCCGAGGTAGTGAAAATTCATGGATGTTTAGAATGTTAGATGATGTTATTCGGGCAGAGTATTTTCCCAAGCAAGGAAAGGACTCTCAAGAATGACTAGAATTTTCTAGTGTATAGGCTAAATTTCCAGCAAGTTCTATGGCTGAAAAGCTTTTATAGATTGTTCCATTTGGGTTGGTTAAGAAGGCTATAAATAGCCATGCAATCATCATATGTAAAGCAAGCCAAAAACTATGCTAAGCTTACAGCCTTTGTACTAAAACTCTACTCCTTGATTATATCTTCTATCAACAGAGTTTTTGTTTTGTGTATCCCACATCCTTCAACCATTTCCAAACTATAAACTAGTCCTTCTTTTACTAAACTACTACAACTAAAAACCTTAACTATCAAACTATTTTCATTTCAATTTCTAATCACTAAAACCTCTAAACTACCATCATTTTCTAAAAGAGGTATTAGAGCCCCAATTAATCGTAAGTGGGCACTAAGGTCTTTATAGCCACTATAAATTCATCATAATCTATCTCTATGCCATTTTTCATTTTTTATGGGAGCAACTATGATTTGTGGAAAATAAAAATGATGACACTTTTCAAGTCTCAAAAGCTTTGGGACATTGTTATGGAGAGACTTAACATCCCGAAGAATATCTCTACTCTATAAGAAGCACAACAAAAGGAGTTAAATGTGAAAGAGCAAAAGGATACTAATGCTTTTTATTTGATTCAACAATCACTAGCTAATACAATTTTTCATAGGATTACTGGAGCTTCGACAGGAAAGCAAGCATGAGATATGTTGTAAGAGGAGTTTCTCGGCAATTCTAAGGTACACACCATTAAAATCTGAACATGACAAAGAGAGTTGGAAAAAATTAAAAATAAAAGATTCTAAGACCGTTAAAGATTATCATGGAAGAACTAAAGTTGTGGTAAATCAAATGAGATCTTTAGGAGAAAATATTACTAATCAAAGAGTTGTTGGAAAAAATCCTAGTCAGTCATACAAGAAAATATAACTTTATAGTTGCTACTATAGAATAATCAAAAGATTTAACAACCATGCCAGTAGCTAAACTAATAGGTTTTTTAGAAACATATAATACAAGGCTCAGAAGCTATGAAAAAGACTATTGAGAGTGCCTTTCAGTCTGAGCTTAATATAAGGTCTTAAAAATCTAGACATAATTCTGAGAAATTTACAAATAATTCTTGAAATGTATTACAAGAAAATAAAACTTTAGAAGAAAAAATAGCCAGCCAAGGAGAAAATATCCTTCTTGCAACATTTTTAAAAATACAAATCATTTGGAGAAAGATTGTTAGAATCATGGTAAACTATAATGTCACTTTTATGGATGGTTCACACATCTATAAAAGGATTGTCACATAAAAAATAATCACCAAGCAATTTTTTATGGAAAAAAGGATGATAAAGAGTTGTTATTCTATTGCTATCATGCTACCACTAAAGATAAGATATGTGGTATATTGATAGCATGTGCAGTAACCACATGACAAGTAAGGATATCCTATTTCACAATTTAGACTCATCAGTCAATTCCAAAGTCAAATTTTAAAAAAATACAGAGGTTGAGGCTAAAGGAAAAGTCAATATCATTATAGAGACAAAGAAATGTATGTAATTTGTCAACGATGTATTGCTTATCTTGAATTTCAAAAATAATTTGTTCAGTGTAGGCATGATGTAGGAAAAAGGTTAAGCTCTTTACTTTGATGGAGATCGTTACACCATATATGATAAAAAAAAGGGTAATAAGGATGAAAAATAGATGTTTTCCTATCAGATGACAATATATCCAAAATACTGCAATGAAGGCACAAGTTGATGATTCCAAGTTATGGCATCGAAGATTTGGCCACTTTAATTTCAAGGTGTTGAAGGACCTATGTTAGAAGAATATGATGAAAGATCTTCCAAAAACAATCGAAGTAAATGATGTTTGTGAAAGTTGCCTACTTGGCAAGCAACTAAGACGATAATTTCCTTTTAGAGGAGCTTAGAAAGCAAAAAGCTCATTAGAGTGTGGATCGGTGAGGACATTGTCACTAAATCAAAAAAGGTAATTCATTCTCTTCATTAATGATTATACTAGAATGGCATGAGTCTACTTCATGCGTGAAAAATGAGAAGTTTTTCATATATTCAAAAAATTTAAAAACTATATTGAAAAGCAAAATGGCTAATATATTAAGGTGTTGAGGAGTGATCAAGGTACAAAATACAACTTAAAAGAGTTTGCAAAACTCTGCGAAGAAGAAGCTGTCAAGTGACAACTTATCTTAGAATATGCTCCTAAACAAAATGAAGTATCAGAAAGAAAGAATAGGACAATATTAGAGATGGCAAGATCAATGCTAAAGGAGAAAAGTCTTTCAAATAAGTTTTGGGCATAGGTAGTATCCACTACTATATATATACTAAATAGATGTTCAGCAAAAACAATGACAAATAAAACACTAGTGGAAGCATGGCCAGGAAGGAAGCCTTTAGCAAAGTATCTCAAAGTTTTTGGCAATATATGTTACACTTGTATTCCAAAGGCAAAAAATGAGTAAGTTCAATAACAAGACTGAGAAAGGAATATTTTTTTAGCTATAGTTCAATATCAAAAGGCTATTGGGTATACAATTTATAGACCAAGAAACTAATTATCAGTCGAGATATTGAGTTCGATAAAAATGCTAAGTGGAATTGGGATGAAGAAAAAGTTGAAAAAAGAATAATCACTAAACTTAAGCTGATAAAAGAGATGTTGAAGAAAGTAGAAATCAACTATCATCACCATGATCTTCTTCATCAACAAGTCAATCATCAACCCCTCCATGTTCACCTAGATCACCATCAATTATAAGGCAAGAAAGAATTTCTTCAAGTTCACTAGTTAGTAAAATAAGGTCACTAATTAACATTTATAAAAGCTACAGTTTCACAGTTGTGAAGCAAGCCTAAAAGCTATGAAGCTACATCTAAGAAAGAAGTTTAGGTGAAGGCAATGAAAAAAAAAATTAAAATGATTGAGAAAAATAAGACCTGTGAGCTAATGAATCAACTAAAAGATAAAGAGGTTATTAGAGTTAAGTGGGTCTATAAAACAAAGTTTAACTCTAATATCTCAATACAAAAGTATAAAGCAAGGTTAGTAGCAAAAGCTACTCTCAACTACCTGGCATTGTTTATGATAAAATATTTGTTGGAGTTGCTTAGCTAGACACTATTTAAGCATTAATTGCTTTAAATGCTCAAAAAAGATAAAAAATTTATTATCTTGATGCGAAGTATACTTTCTTGAATGGAGTTTTAGAATAAAAAATATATGTGGAGTAACCATTTAATTTTTTAGTAAAAAGTAGCATAAATAAAATATTAAAATTAAAGAAAGTATTGTATGGGCTCAAGCAAAAACCACGGGTCTAGTATAACATATTTGACAACTACTTTAATGAACAAGGATTGAAAGGAAGTAAGAGTGAGCCAACACTGTACATTAAAAAACCAAGGTAACTCTAACACTCTCAATCTCTCTGTATGTGGATGATCTTATCTATATGGAAATAACAAGTGTATGTAGATGATCTTATCTATATGGAAATAACAAGGAGATGATTCAAGATATGATGAAGACTTTTAAAATGATAAATTTGGGTTTGATGCATTATTTTTTAGGGATAAAAATAAATCAATAAAATGAAGAAATATTTATCTCGTAAAAGAAATACACTTAGAGACTCTTGAAGAAATTACAGATGACAGGATATAATGCAATTGCTACTCCATTTGTGACTAATAAGAGATTATAAAAGAAAGATGGATTAAAAAAAGAAGGACACATCAATATTCAGAAGTTTAATAAAAAGCTTTTATATCTAACAATAATAAGGCTAGATATAATGTATGCAACAAGTCTACTATTAAGGTTCATGTAAAGTCCAAGCCAAAAATCCACTTTGGAGCTGTTGAAAGAATACTTAGATACTTGTAGGGAACAAAAGAGTATGGCATATGGTATATATTAATTATTGATGTAAGACTATATGGATGGACATACAATGATTGGGCTAGATCAATTGATGATATAAGAAGCACTTCAAGCTATACATTTTGACTCAGTTTTGGAATATTCTCTTAGACATCTAAAAAGCAAGTGTCTATAGCAAAATTATCAATTGAAGCAAAGTATGTTGCAACCGTAAGAGCAACAAGTCAAGCTATATGGCTTAAAAGAATACTAGAAGCTATGAGAGAATGTCAATAAGGATCTACAACGATATTATATGATAATAAATCAACAATTACTATGATGAAAAATCCTGTATTCCATAGTAGGACTAATTATATATTAATCAAATATCATTTTTTGAAGTAGTTGGCAATAAAAAATTCACTTTTAAGTATTGCAGGATTAAAGAACAATTAGCAAATATGCATCAACGATTCAAGTTCAAGTCATTACGAGAACAATTAGGAATATCAATTAAGTGCATTAAGAAGAAGTGTTAAATTATTAACGCACTTAAACAAGATTCTAGAGATAAATTCTATAAAACACTACAAAATACTAGTTCTAAGATAAGTTAGGAAAGTTCCAGAAAAATCAAACAAACACTAGGAATGTTTTGGGAAAAAAAGAATGCTTGTCCATAATTCAAAAAACTCTAGAATTTTCTTGTGTATTGGCTAAATTTCCAGCAAGTCCTCTGGTTGGAAAATTTGTTTAGATTGTTCCATTAAAGTTAGTTAGGAAGGCTATAGATAGCCATGCAAGCATCATCCGTAAAGCAAGCCAAAAACTATGCTAATCTCAAAGTCTTTGTCCTAAAACTCTTCTTGTATTACATCTTCTAGCAACAAAGTTTTTGTTTTGTGTATTCCGCATACTTCAACAATTTCCAAACTATAAACTAAGTTCTTTTTTTACTAAACTATTACAGCTAGAGATCTTTACTATCGAACTACTTTCATTTCAATTTCTAATCACTAAAACCTCTGAACTGCCTCCTAAATTACCATCATCTTTTAACAGCAGCACGTTTCCTTTTTTAACTAGTACTCCTCTACATGGAGCCCCAACTTTCTTGCTATTAATTCTTCTCTTCTAACTACTTGTAATCAGTCTTTTTATGTCCGTTAGCCAATAAATTTCCACAAACACTAATTACAGCAGGAAATTTTAACAAAAGAGATAGAAAAGTGGACTGCCATTAGTAATGGATGGAAAGCTAATTATTTTTCTTTCATGGCAGTACACGAGTCATCTGTGAAACACGGTGGTTAAGTTGATGAAACATGAAAATGATACAATCAACAATATTAATTTTGTGTATCAACTTTTTCTCCCAAGTTGGATATCTAGACCAGACAACGAATTCTCTAGAGCTCGCATGCACGCATGAGTGTGTCTGCACGTAA